TCCCGCCTTTTCAAACCACTTCCTACTCCCCAGTACAGCTACCGTCCTCTCCTCTCTATTCCATGCCTCAAGCATCTCCCTGTACATCCCTTGTATTTTTCCCAGCTCAGTCATGTACACTTCCCTCTCCGTGTTGTACCACGGACATTCCGCGACTACATGAACACGGTCTTCGCACTCGAAGCCGCAATCACATTTGAACTTATCATCTTCGTCGTCTACCGTCCTATATGTCTTCGTCGACGTTCTCGAAGGCCTATGTCCCCGGTCCTGAATTTGACCTTAAGCTTTGTCCCTGCATCCATTTGGTCCATGTAGGTAATCCTTGAACCCTATTCCTCTTTCGCAACATTCGGTACACTTCAAGAAGACCCTCCTTATCCTCGGTTTCTTTCCTTATATTCTGTTCTTCTCTCTCGGCACAAGCAACAGATATCTTCTCCTTGAACCCCTGTAGACCCTTCGTTTCCAGCGTTTCATCTTCGTCAATGTCTAACCCCTTCCATACGTCCTCTACAACCTTGACCCATTCCGTGGGTTGTCTACTCCTCTTTTTGTTTGCCCACTTCGCCTCCCATACTATTCTCGGCAACCTCTCCTCTCCCATCCCGCACATGCGATACTGAGGGGGAGGGGGGGGGTATACTAAAATCAAGTAAAAAAAGATCCAAAAAACTTTTCTCTTTTGAACTTTTCTCGCAACTACGGCACCACTGATTTTTTTTTCATTTCGACCCCTCTATGTAGTCTATCTAGGACGTACGTAAGTGTCGTTTTCACTTTTCTGTGGGCACCCAGGTGTAGTCTAATCAGCGTGGTGTCTTTTCGGAGGGGGGGAAGGGGGGTACGTACTCATAGTCGTGCATGCCGTAGTCGTTAGACCGTTGACGTCGCTTCCCTACAAAACCGGGACGGAGCACGCCGGGTTGTCGCCGGACCAGGCTCCCACATCACCAAGCGCGAAGCTCCGTGAGGTATTCCGCGAGTCGCGTGGAGGGTGGGGGGGGTTAGTTAGGGGTGCAGGGGAATGAGGGTACGACGCGAACGAACGTGCACACCCACGCGTGTTTCAATAAAGGGTAACGCGGGAACATGACGCCCGAGATGACGCGTATGATTGCAAGCTGGTCAACGGCGAGGAAAAAAACGAGTTCAGGCGTTAAAATGCAACAGCCTGCCTTAAGGAAGGTTTTATTCGGGGAGAGCAACGCCAGCCACTCGGGGAATACATGTACACATGCATGCATGCAGTATCGCGTGCGTAGCAATTTGCAAGTAAGTGCAGTCGTCCCTCGGGTAAGCACACCACACCGCCCTCATTCTTTCACAGGCATGGTGTCCCTCCCGTAGAACGTACAATATAAGGAGGGTATCAATCTCCTATGGACACGTCCCGGTTGAAGTGAACAGGGGAACAAAACACGCTCGGCACGGCGGTAGTGTAGTAGTAAGTCTTGCACGCGAGGTCGTGTGCCACCAATAATCAATGCACCTTGTGATGAGCGGCCCCCGATTCTCTTGTCAACAGCAGGAGCATCGGTACCAGCTTTCAAACTCGATGGCAAACATCATTGTGTTTTCCATATTGGCTCAAAATATATATTATCGTTGTCTCGAACTTAACAGTCACAACACCTTTCTTTCCTAGTGTCCACTCTTGTCTTGCTTCTTCTTACGTGACATCCCCTTTTCTCCTCTACGTTCACGCCTAAATATATCCATTCGATCGATCCTCAGAAGAACCCGTCCCCGTACTGATGCACCGTGTCGTTGGCCCAAGAAAACGCACAGCCTTGGAATCAGCCGTCATACGGCACACCCGCGCAACATCAACACCACACCTTCGAGGCACGAGAAGTACCATAATTTGAGAACAAGATTCGGGAACACGGGCAACAACAAATACCTGGTAGGTCCCGTACCTTCAACACGAAAGGACAACTAGACAAGAAGGGAGAGGCCGCCAGTATTTATTCCTGATTGCTTCGTTGTTGGAGACCATTCAGCCCGTTCACTCAACCACTACAGTGCTGGTTCTCTGACTTAACGTACAAGAATACACAGGGCTTTTTTGCACCAAGCCCCTTGTCACCGATAATCGCCATACGACAACAGCAGAGCAGCAGTAGTAGTCGACCCAGCAGCATACAAGCGTGGGGGAAACCAAGGGTCAAGCAAGTGAGGATCAGCAACACCCCGCCCCGTTCGCTGCCGCAGCATAAGCGTATCCACAATACAACTGACTCATAGTCACCGCCTGAACCCATTAACCCCTCTCAAGTAGAACCACTGGGAAGCTCACGTTTTCATCTAAGTGAGGCAGGCTGAGCTGATCATGGTCTCTTCTACTCCACTCAATTGTATGCGGCACGTTGCATGGGACAACATCAACTATTTTGCACGCAAGCTACTACAACGATGCGTGCACTCATACGATCAGAACAAATGTTTGGCCGCGTAGAACAAGTCTAAGTAGATGCAATAACCACGGACAAACGCAGAAAAACACAAGGAAGGAAAGCCGACAACAAAAAAACACGAAATAACGCTTCCCTCAACCTCTTCATAAAACTTCTCGCTCCGTCTGTGAGACAGAAGTAAAAACCCGCTTGTGTCTAAGATCTCGCGCTTCCTCTCTCCATCCTGTGAATCACCCCCCCTCTGTGTAACCCGGCCGCGCCTGTACACGGGAACAATGATCGCGGCCCTCCGTATATGGTATTTACCAATGACACGACCCAGAGCAAAAAAAAACACTAAAAAAAAAAAGCATGCATCATACCAACGCAAAGCAAGAGGAAGCACTGGGCCATGCCGTAGCAGAAGGAACAAAAGCGGCCCGGCGCTTCGACACTATCGTCACGAAGAACGAAGACATGCTGCTCCTGAGAGGAGCGAACGACGTGTGTCTCGCTCTCTCGCTCTCTCTCTCTCTCTCTCTCTGGGAGTCCTGTGAGTCCTGTGAGTTCTGTGTGTCCAAGACAAAACACGCCTGCACCAGAGGCACGATGCGATGCTGTCACAGCAAAAGCAAGCACAGCGATTTCACTTGTCAGCCGTCGTATACATACCACCAACTATGACACGAGTCTACCTGTACGCGTGGTTTGACTCACCGACTGACTGGATTTGATCCGATTTGCACAACATGAGAAACTACCGATCTGGCCCAAGCACAACAGAGCCAGAGGAGCTGACACACAAGTCCTCGTTTCGCACCACGCACCACGCACCCCGCTCCACCCACCCCATCCCTAAAAAACCCCAAAAAACAAATAAAAAGGTACCACCGGTGCCCCCCGCCCCCCACCCGCTAGAAAACAGCAACAGATCCATCCCATCCCGTGTCGAACTCTCTCCTCCCGTGGCAAAATACTCGCTCCACGCCGATGAAACACAAGTCTCCTCCTCTCTTCCCATCTCCTCTACAAGACCCTGGAGCGAGCAATCTTTCACCTTAGCTGAAGATACGACTAACAGCAGGAGCATTCCACTGATACTACGTGCTGTACTGCCCTTGACACCATCCCCACCAACCTACCAGTCTTCTATAAATTCCAACACCTAACAATGGCAACAGTCACATCCCTCTTGCCCTTGAATGCCCCTCGACCGGGCATGAGAGAGGCTGCACATTGTACACGACAAACGACGTACTGCATCTGGGAGGAGGGGGAGACTGATTGTGTAAAAATACGCAGGCTTCACATCCCTTCTTCCATTCCTCTGCGAGTGATAAATAGTCACACAGCGTCTCGTCTACTCGCCGTTCCTCCACGAATCGCCAAATGTGCACGGCTGGTCGTGGTGGTGGGGGGAAAAAGAAGCCAACCACGCCGAGTGAAACATTTGACGACCCCATTTACAACCCTTTACGCAGCCTGTGTGTTCTCTCCTCACGACACGCAAACGTCGATCTGCGCCGTCAAGCTGGCGGTATTCTCAAACCCAACGTGCTGCTGTTGCTGCTGCTGCTGCTTCTGCTGCTGCTGCATCTTTTCCGACGACGACGATTCTAAAACTTTACGATTGGCAGCAGCAGCCGCCGCTGAGGGAGAGAAGCCCCTCGCGACATCGTCGTCGTCGCAGTCTCCCTCAGCACGGCACTTGGTCTCTCCGCCGTTGTCCCCGCCGGCGCCCATATCGTCGAGTGATTTTCGCCCCCTTGCAACGCCATCGCCGCCCTTGACGCTAACGTTAAAGGTCACGCCAAGTCGCCGCAAGGCGTCGTTGAGGTCTACCTCTTGGTTGGCGTTCGCGTCCATCAGCGGCGGGGTGGGGCACACCGCGGGGAGTGGAGCCTGCTCCGTGAAAACGAGACGAATACACGGGCAAGTGGAGGAGACGGGTGGAGGTCGGTAAACCGTGGCGGCTGACAAAACACTTAACAAGAGTCGACACAGGCAGGGTATTGGATGCCTACGACAAGGGAGGACTCATACACGTCAACCACTGAACACATAAAACGTCATGACGTCTACCCTGACAGCGGGGGAGGGCAGGGTAGACACCACTGGCACAACCGTCCAGCTGCCAAACAAAAGGCCGGTCGTGGGCATGATTCACCCCGTGACCCAACGCGGCCTCAACCACAACCCCGTCGAAAGAACACCGCGACTGCAGCAACACACGCTCACCAGCTTGACGAGGTCTCGCAGGCGGCCGGCGTGGTCGTGGGTCTCGTAGGACTTGGCGTTCACGCCGTTCTCTAGGCCGCAGGTGAACCACCCGTCGAGACTGAGCGCCCGCGGCCGGTCATGGTGCCTGCCGCTACCTTCGCCCCCGTCGCTGCTGTCGCCGCCGTCGCTCGAGTCGTCCACCGACACGAGGGCGGTGAGGCCGCTGCCGCTGCCGCTGCCGCTGCCGCCGCCCCGCCTTGCCGTCTCGAGGTTGGAGAAGGCGCGCCGTACGCGGATGGTGTTACCCTCTTCATCTTCCTCTTCGTCCTCTTCGCCGTCGCCGTCTCCCTCACCGTCTTCGTCCGCGGTGTTGCCCTCATCCGGCGAGGACCAACCGAGGCTGCAGGAAGGACTGCTGCCTCCGTGCTGCACGCCGCTGCCTGCTCGTTCGACTTCCTCATCATCCTGCCAGCGCCCCTTAGCGATGTCCGCTGCGGGGGCCGATGTAGTCGTCGTCGTCGTCGTCGATGATGATGATGATGTTGTCACGCTCTGTTCCTCGTACGTCAAAGACGGCGGAAGCGGCTCCTGGGAAACTGGCGGCAAGCTCGATGAGGCCGGGCAACAGGAGATGTCGGCGGCCGTCTCGACAGGCTCGTCGCTCTCGCCGCCGTCCGACGGCGACGTTAGGGTGCCCGGCTCCGACGGAGGTGTTGGCGGCGAGGTGTCCGAGTCCGAGAGGCTGGCGGACGACGGCTTGGCGAGAAGTCCGGAGGGCGGCAGAGCCAACTCGGGCTCGCTCTGTACGGGCCACGCGCGCACTTTTTCGGTCGCTCTCGCGTCCTCGTACACCGCAGCATCGACAACCACGGGCTGTTGAACTTCCTCGTCGTCCTGCATGACTTTCCCCTCTTCCTCATCCTGGCTCGACTTGGACTCGGCTACGATTTCAACCGGCACCAGTTCGGGACCCTCCCCGGCGGCGGCGGCGGCGGCCGGCGGAGAACGCATAAACTGAATGAAGTTGATCCGGAAGTCGCGGTAGTCCGTCTCTTGCCACCTGAGCGTCCAAGACAACACGACAACACCAGGTGTGGGGGTAAGGTGTGGTGTCGTTTTTCGTGTGGCATGGCACAGTACTCTTATATTGAATATTGTACTTTCGAAAGCGGTTGGGCTGAGCACCGGTTTCTTAACAAAACCAAAACTCCCAAGACCAACACATGATGTGCGAACCAAGCAATTAGTTACAACTACAAGCAATCTTTCCAAAAGAACCAAACACGAAGGAAGGCAGGCAGCCTTACCAAAGTTCCTGCCTCGCCGCGGCGTGCAGGTCCTTGGCGGAGGGGATGAGAATAGCCGCCACAACCGTGTTGAACGAGACGCGAGAGCCCACGCGGACGCAGGCAGCCGCCGCCTGCCTCTTGGCCGCGGAAGCGCCCGGACGCGCCGAGGGGTGCCTTCCCTCCTTCGGGAGCCTCCAATTGTCCAAGGCGTCTCTCTCTCGCTCTGGGGACCGCGTAGCGCTGTCACTGCTGTCGCTGCGTTCCGTGCGGGCGGCGGGGGTACGAGGCGGCGGAGACGGCTCCCGCTGCTGCTGCTGCTGCTGCTGTGGTCGCTGGGTCATCTGGCGGATCCAGTCGCTAGCTGGCCTTTTGGCGCACGCGGCGGCGGCGGCGGCGGCCGCAGCGGCCTCATCGTCCTTTGTCTCACCAGACACAACCTTGCAACACAAAAAATACACGTTTGACATCATTCGGGAAGCAAGGAGATTCGCGTTAGGAAATAAAATCACAGACCGTTCCTGTACGACCATGGCCGCTGCTGTGTTAAATATAGCGAGAACGTATCGTGTCCGATACACAACGCCATCAAACTATCGCTGTGCACCCGTACCCGCGGCGAGCGCTGCTGCACCCATCAAGGTATTGGTAACTTGACTGAAGAAGACGACTCCGCGGAAACTAGTACACACGACATTCTAGGAGCGGTAGAGTGTGTGTACTACAGGTTTTGCGATCTTTGGTACAACACGGGTGGTCGGCGGGCACCGCCGTTGTATTTTACGAGCCGATTGCAAGTCGAAAGTAAACAATTGAAACCTTGTTTTGAATTTCGAATGCAACTTGAACCCATCTGCAGCCCAAAGACAAGGAATACGTGAAACTACGGACGGTGAGCTCCAGAAGAGGAACATAGAATTTCACAAGAATAACACTCCAGTGCAGCAGGTTTTCCGGCTGATGTCAACCACCATCCATGTTCGGAATAATTTCCAAATATTTTTCATGTTGTCACGAAATTTGTAATAACCGCTATTCAGGGCATCGCCGCTTAACCTCTTCAGCGGGTATGAACCGCTAGACCGGGAAAAAGACAGTTTTTGCGCAACAAGAGCAGCGTCCAAAGCTTGAGAGGGCCATGCATAGGTCTCTTTGGAGACGTCATATGCATACGATTGTGTAGATGAAGGGGTGACCGCCCTAAGGAAGAGAGCACAGCATATTCATTTGGACTGTTTTCTACACGTTTCAGAGTACGCGGAAGTGGGCTGCTCTATCCTATTGGAATATTATTTGGTTTCCCGCGTTAGCGCGAGTTGGGTTCTTGCGTGTGCCTGGTGCTAGAAATCTACCACACCTTGGGCTTGGGTGGATCGAAACGCGTGGCGAAGTCTGCGCCACCTTGGTTGCACATGAGTGGCCAACATATGCGATGCATCTTGCTGCCATCTGTACCCTCCACCTCCCCACACACGCCATGCAAGCGTCTACCACAAACCACTTTTGACGAACGTGTGCTCCGGTGGGACCCAGTGCCGCATCTGCAAGCTTAAGCTTGTATCATACAACTCTGCATCCGCGCACCGATCGTGTGTTTGTGTCGTTCGCTATCTATGTTCTGTGAGTACGTGCAAGCAAAGCACCTCAAACTTGAATCGATAACCGCTACAAGTATTGGTGAACTCGGGTGCAGCTGTGCCACGAGATTTGGGAACCGCTATTTTGGGCATCCCGCTGAACAGGCAACCGCAAATGGGACCATGACTACTACTGCTGTACGGCAGTCGAAGAGCCCCCATCCTTTATCCTTCCCATTGCCCGGGTGGATCTGTTGACAACCTTGTCACAGGACCATTTTGACTTTAGAGCGCGTGTTGGAATCCAATCTCTCTCTGCGGTGAAAAATCGCCATCTACAGGTGGATCGCGCATACCCAATCGGAACACACGAAGAGAGCAGAGGAAAGAACTCTTCTCGCGAAAAAGCTGTGCCTACAATAGGCGAGCAGCGCAAACATCGCGAGTGTTCACATATACGGTATACATCTACTATTACTGCTACATATTTACCTCACAAGTGTAGACTGGCGCCCCGAAATGGACGGGACGAAAAGACACACAATCGGCGAGAATGTTTCGGGATGCACCTCTGCCGACTGGCAGAACACATGCATGCTGCAGGCATGTGCTACCGTGCCTACAGCACTACCGTTTTTTTTTTGTGCACATGCTTGAGAGGACGTGAAAAATTTCACATGGGATGTCGATCGATCGGCACTTCACGTGTCGGGGTCGGGGATAGCCTGCCACTGCTGTAACGCACAGAGCAGTCTGCAGCGGCTGTTGAACCAGACACACAGCGGCACCCCGAGGCGGCACAACGGTATGTACAACGAACTCTTCCTGCGGTGCCACGTTAACGTATTATTTTCCACCGCTCTATTGACATGTTCACAGCAGCTGTAGGCGCGCGACCGACCCACCTCATGACGCACCACCCGCACTCTTCTCCAGGCCTGCTTTCTCGTCAACGGCATGTCTTGCGGTAGCGCCGCGGTGGTGTGCCTTGCTTCCAACCCCGCTATCTGCTGTACGCACAAAGAATGATTTTGCCGCTTGTACACGAAGCTCAAGACTGGATTGCTCAACCTGTCGGCGTTGCACGGCAAGCAAGGAGCAGGGACAGCAGCAGCACACAGCAGGATGATTAACGCCGGTGCCATGGGCGGAGAGGGTTGAACGAAAAACACCAAGTTTCCGGCATGACGCACTACGCATCATCCGCGAAAAATAAAATTCGGGTCTTGGTGTGGTCTGGGAGACCCGGTTGCTCCTTTAAAATCCAGCTGCTTCGGCAAATTGCGACGTACACTCGGAGTACGCGTACGATGCCTCCCGCGCGCGGTGAGCTTGCTTGCTTTTCGTATTAATTCCATGGTGCGGGCGCGGAACACCGGAGGAAACATTAATAATGCGCAAGACTACATAAATAACTTCCTGTTGCAATTTGGCCCTGGGACCATCTGCGAGGAGCGGTGCGTCGTCCCCTGACGACAGATATACTTGAAAAATATCGCTCCGCTGCATGTCGCGTCGATCCGACCGCATCAATCACCTCTCTCCCACCTGCTGTCTGCACACTGCTGTACTGCTGTAGTTTCAGAAAAATACGAACCTCGGGACTGCCTTGAGAAGGAGCCCACCACAACAAAGGTGTGAGGTGGACAAGATTGCGACTTCGCGGGCACGTACGAGAGGAGCAGAGGGGTGGGGGGACTCTGCCTTGGCTGCTGCTTGTTTGCCTAGGGCACTTCGGTTTCGCTGCCAGCCCGTTCATATGCATCGTCGAACACCATGACGCACCACCTGCTGCTGTGCATTCCAACCACACCGCCTTGTTGCCGTAGCAGAAGAAAGATACCACGAGTTACCACAACGCTCGCCGTGTTTCCCGGCCCCTAGACAGGACACAAGCATCCCTCTCTGCCCGCGCCCGGGGACAGAGGCACACATGCGCCGCCCATCGCGCACGATGGATCACGGGATGTTGGCGTGTCTCTTGCTTCTTTCTCGGAGCAAAGTTGCATTTGCGGCCAAGCTATTAGAATACATACACCTCTCGCTCGCATCCCACAGCGACCAAAATACCAAGGCACCGCACCCACCTTCCCTCGCCTCGTATCCTCGCCCTCGCTTTGTATGATGTCACTTGTGCACAGTGACCTCTTGAAGAAGTATGGTTGCGTATGTCCTCGTGCGATCGTTGTCCCGGAGTGCTGGTACGAAGACCAGGCCGATCTGTGATCGTCATGTCCCGATGTCCCGGTTTGGGGCAGCTGGTTGAAGTTGCTGCTTGTAGTTACGGTTGCATCGAAGAGACCGGCAGCTGCTTGCCTAAACAATACTGATTTTAGAGTCGCTCGACATACGTCAGGTGTCCCTGGCCCTGGCGGCTGTGATTCGTCCCGCGCTTTTTTTTTTTGTCCAGACCTAGACACGGCTTGCAATCATTCCAGAGAGGGCGAACACACAACAGTCCTGTTCATATGTTGCTCGAGGATAGGAAAAACGCAGTTAGGCTTGGCACGCTATCAGTCTATCGCGAATTCATCATGGGCTCTGGAATCCACCGATCTAGTGAATTGTGAAAACATCTACTGTAGACCCGAAGCGTGAAGCGTGAAGCACCACTATTTGTTTTTTTTTCTTATAATGTTTTTCATCTCTATTTTTTTTAGTTCGTCCGCTGTGCCCATGCACCCCCCCTCCCTGGTACCAGTTGCGTCGTCGTACTGGCTGCTTGCCTCTCTGTTGCACAGCTTGGGAGCTTGGGTCGGTATTACAGCCTGTAGTACCGGCAGTAGCAGACAACTGCGGTGCTGTGTATACGTCCGGGTGTGTATGTGCAAGAGAGAGGGAGGAGACACATCGTAGTGCCCTCAACAGGCATGCCACGGTTTTACAAGGACAGCGTGCTAGCGCGGACTGTTTACCAGTCACGGCAACAAACGACGGTGTTTGAGGGCGCACCGGTGGTATCCGGGTCCGCAGCGGTGCTGCTTGGGGACGTTGACAACGACCCACAAGCAGAGAGAGAGCTAGCCGTAGGCGGGGTCGATGGCACGCTGGCTGTGTTCAGGGCGGGACATCCCACACCGGGGCCTTACTTTATGGCGTCAGGTATGCACATGGTTGACCGTCCGTTGACGTCTTTGGCTTTCATGCTCTCTTTTGTTCCCTGCTGGGTCAATGGTTTACGGAGGCGTATGCATACTTGAATACTTGTGTGTCAAAAGACGTGTTCTCTGGGCAGCATTTCGCTGGAATGAAAAGAATGGTTGCAGCCTTGCGGGTAGGCGTGTCCGTGGCGCTCAATTTTTTTACGTAGTACTACAATCACGATGTTGTTTCTGATATCTCCTACGTACGAGAGTCATTCATGGTACAACTTGAAGCAGCTCCATCGCTTTTGCGGCGGGCAATACAGAAGTATAAACTGTAGAAGTACATAGAACACTGAAGTTCGTGCACCTTCGGTACCATTGGTTGCATTAGATATCACCCCCCTTCTAAAGTTCGTGCACCTTCGGCACCATAGGTTGCATAAGATATCACCCCCCTTCTAAAGTTCGTGCACCTTCGGCCATAGGTTGCATTAGATATCACCCCCCTTCGTCGATTTCCCAAGGTCGATTGTTCTGCAACACAAACGATGGCGGCGTTTGAAGCGTGCTGTCGAGAGCTTCCTGAAAATGTTGATGAAGTACATCTGCAAACTTGCTGCGGAGAAATCGAGTTCGAAAAATTGGTCAGGGATGTGGTATCTTCCGCAACCTGTGTATGCATACGACTTGTACATAGCGCTCCAATTTTTAACGAGGTGCAACCTCAATGCGGTTCTGTACAAACAGGTGGTTCTACAGTGCAAACCCGCAATCGCGAAATAATCCATTGAGAAACAAGAGGCAACTTTCACGAAAAGTGGGGTAAGAAATAGCCTACGGTGGATGGATCTGTGTACTGAACCTAGACGTGTATTAACGAATGGAATCGCTGCTGCGCGTTACGATGCGCATATGTTCCGGTGTGGTCGTCAGGGCTTGGCACCTTGTCCGCGCTAGGGCTAGGAAAATTGTTCTTGGGGTACGGCGACGACCAGCAGCTGATCGCTTGCACAGAGGAAGGCGTCTGCCACATTTTCAACATCAGGCCGGCCGACCTAAAGTGAGGCAAGACTCCACTCTGCATATCAGCCACAGGCTATTGCTTGTGTAAGACCTTATTCATTTCCCCACACTGATACGGCTTGAGGTGGGCGGGAAATCGGTGGTTGTAGACGTACATACACGGCGTAGTACTCTGTAATGGTGGCTCGCCGCTTTCCCACCGAGAAACGTGTAGGGGTCTTGATACATGATGACACGCAATGTTGTTAAATTAAACTATGCTTTTTCGGGTGCAACATAATTTTGTATTGAATGTTTATCAGCTATGTGGGGTAAATATGGCATGTTTCCCGAGGATCCGCCCTGTGTACATGTTCATAGTTCTGAAGCCCGCTAGCGTTTCAGTGTCTCTTGTTTGCCTTCCTGGCGAACCACTACTTTTTCATGGCAACAGATCTTCGAAAACAGAATCTGCCAAGATCATTTCATGGTTTGTGTGTACCCGTTTATGCCCGACAGGGTACCCCCTTCCGCCCCAGGCAAAGCTACAGCCACGCCGTCACGACGCCGCCCCCGCACAACCCCCTTGTCTAGCTATCAAATCCCGGCCTGTTCGCTTCGTTAGAAAAATGCAGCCTGTGTTCCATCGACCACGCGTACGAGTTTCGTAAGATGTACTCCCAGTAGGTTACATGAAAGCGTATCTGGCGAATCCCCAGACTCCCTCTCTGGAGTTTGGTGCGGAATCATGTACCCGACTTGAGGAGAAAACCACGACTCAGTTTGTGAGGTATCCAGGGCTGTCCACATCCCCCACACAATCGAATTCAGCCGAATGTGTTGCTGTCCCAGACCAAAGAACGACCGGCTCTATTTCAAACTTCAGTACCATGGTAATGGTATTTGACAGCTGAAACACGGAATAAACAGGGCCTGACACGCTGGTTTCTAGGTGTCTAGACGCACCAGCTGCTGCCGCTGGAAGCGTGAACGAACCTCCGCACTCCGTACGGTACAAGTAGACAGCATCAGTACAGTAATGGCTCAAGAGTGAGGTCGTGAGAGGGTTTGGGGGAGTTGGGCAAGGCCGCGACTAGCGGTGTCGTTATAGACTGACCTGCGTGAGAGACAACGAGAGTCCAAGCCGGTGGTAGACCGGGCAAGGGTGCATCTACGTCATATGGTACTCCAAACTACCGTACCAGTACTTCCTCGCTTCCCTAGAGCGCACGGAGTCTCTATTGATAGCACTCCAGGCTTCAAGTGGGTCGTTGGAGCTTTGTGAGTTGTTTATTCGGGCCAATTGGAAGTAGCTGACGAGAGGAGAGAGGAGTGTTTGTCAACACCTTAGGTACGACGCGCAGACACGCCGCGACACGACCACAGGTTCCCCGTGTGTCGGGTACGATCTGTGTGGCCCCTGCTTGTTTCGTTCCCAGCTGTCCCAGTCTAGTCTTTGGCGACGTGCCTCAACAAATTGCGTGGGCAAGAGCATGCGTTTGTAAACGCGAGTAGTTTTTGGGAGATTAGTGTGGGGGGGGTCGCCGTTGCCAGCTGCAAAGAATCAGTCTTCATATGTTGAACTCGCCAATGTTTTTCTTTGTATGGGTCACCCCACTTGGTCACCGTCACTCGCCCCCCTTCCCTCGGGTCACGGTCCACTGCAGATTCTTGCGCTAAACAAAAGATACGCTACTTCGCCATCCTACCCCGCTGGTATATAGCGTGCAGTCACACATATCCAACCATACGTATCTCGCCAAAAATATGTACATAAATAAAATAGTGGAATGTGAAACCCTGAACGGAGCGCGTTCGCACTATTCGCTCCCATTCCTATATGGTGCAGGTGCCCGCTATAGCACGGGTGAAATCGCTTGGCAGATAGCCGCACTACAGAGACCGCCCCACTGTGTGTGTTTTCCTACGTGCCCAAGACATCGACAGATGTGAGAGCGATTGGGCAGTTTGAGCGTGTTCCGTGGTCACGCCACTGAGAGTGATTACCAGCTAATTCATTGTCTTGTTTATACCGCCGCGTACTTGCAGATGGGATCCAGAATCTGATACCGGGCGCGTCGACCCCGTGTGGTCGGTCCCTTGCCCGAAAAATGTCACTTCGTGCTGCATAGCGGACATCGATGGAGACAAAATGTGAGCATGGTACCTCCGTTGATCCCCTTGGCTGAATATGCACACGGAACAACTTCTCTTCAAGAGCAGTTTGGGTCATGTCACGGTAGAACCGGACAATTAACTGGTGTTCCTGTTCCCTTGAAGCACCACCTGCAAAGTACGCACCCCTGCTACAGATCCGTGTAGGTCCGATACGAAGCAAACCGTTTGAGCGTGCTGCGCATTTTTGTCGTGTGTTTGAGATTATCTTTGAAAATGTGCTTCTTCTTTGACATGGTATGATGGCATTGCTGAAATTGCTTCCAAGGCAGGAAGTGGTGATGGGAACCCGGGAAGGCGGCGTGCATGTCCTCAAGATGGATTTTAACCAAGAACAACACGACAAGGCCAAGGATGAAGGAGTCAAAACGACGGAAAAATCGGGTTGGGCAGGTGGGGTGTCGACCGGGGACACCCCCCGGAGTGACGTGTTTTGTTCGTCTCCGGCTGCACAGTCACGGCACTCGACCCCGACAGCTGATGAGCCCGGACTCGAAAGGCTGGTGCGTGCGTGCTGGTAGAGGCGGAGGTTCGGGACGGGCTAACGGATGGTATTGTTAGCAAGGTCGATGTACGCTAACACTGCTTGAACGGCCTTTGGCTGGCTATACCAGGAGGAAAACCGAACCGCTCTCTGTTGAATATGTTACCTTTATGGTGATAACTTTTGGTGAAAAAATTATTCGTTCCCTTGCGGGTCAACATCCGTTGTTCAACATCAACCACGGGACCCTTGCGCGCCTCACCAAGTCCACCCCCCCTCAACCCCAGGCTCAAGATGGAGACGAGTCTGATGCCACACCAAATCCCGTCCGAGGACCAAGCACGGGCCCAACGAAGTCGGCCTATTGGGAGGACCGAAAAAGCATGGCGATGCCGGACAGTGTAAGCCCCGGCCTGCCTTGGTTCTCCTTGCACGGTCCGACCGCATCAATGTGTAAAATCATATTGTAGGCAATGGCTTTTTGAAAGAACTCGAGCCAGACGGGATTCTTTCTAGCCATGCCCATGACCCACTTCACGCAAGGCAGGAAGTTTCGGGCAATAAATTTTGACACCCTAAAGCTGAAGGTTGGGAGCAACTATGGGATTTGGACTAAATGTGAAATATCTCACGAACTAGAGACAAGCAAGAAGGCACAGGGTGTGTATTCGTATTGCCCAGTCTTGTTAGTCAAGGAGACCAGTTGGTCTCCCAGACATAGGTTTTGACCGATATATCAAACAATTTCAATTATTTTGAATCTCGGACAAAACCTCCCACGGCAATTTCCGAAAATCTGTCGAAATCCGTCGACACATTTAGAGTCGACAACGTCACCCCCACTACAGGAACCAACTAGGTTACAGTATCCGCTGCATCGGGTTTCAAATGGTCTGGGAAGGCGAGGTATTCGTCATGCCGGAAGACCCTCTCAACTCGGCTGTTCCTGATTCGCATTCTTCCAATGTAAGCAGATGGCCCATCGCCCGACGGATTGTTCTTAATTTCCCCAACCAATCTCCTCCTCCTGAACATGTGACTTAACATCGAGCAGACCAACGCTCCAGGCGTTGTTGCTCCTGATACCCAACCGGTCTCTTTGAGCCCGCACTTGAAGCCCCTGCTGGAGCTGAAAGCCCAGGACGCCGTGACGAGCCTCTCCATCGTTTACGTCCCGGAGATCTCTATTATGCCCTCCACGAGCACAACGTCTCGCAGCGGAGAGGGAGTTGCGCCACCAGCAACAGCCCAGGCTGATGGAAACTCTGACAACCTTGAAGGGAGTGGCCGTGGCCTCACCACGTGCTCGCCTCATGAAGATCGACCTCAAGGTGGCAGCGGGAGTATGCCGCCTTTGGCGTCGAGAACCGACATGATGGAACAGTGTGCTTCGGCAGCCGGCGTGTATGTTGCGGTAGGCCTCGATACAGGAGTGGTGGAGGTCATGCGGCTCAGCAGCCAACGCATGGGTACCCGGATACTCGACCTCGTCATAGCCTCCGAACGATCGGACCGTCTTTCATCGATCTCCGACGCTGCGGCGGCAGCGGACTCGCATCCCGCGGCAGATGGTTCTGCTGCTGGTGACGCATTAGGTGGCGGCCTTTCTCGTCTCTCTAGCGACGACCGAGACGCGCACGTGTGTTTGCGCAGCGAAACGTCGGCGTTACAACCGCCGCCAGAAGGAGAACCGGCGGCAAAGCTGAGCGGTGAAGTAGGAAACCAAGAAGAACGCGTCCTGCCGGGAGCAGCAGCTGCTGCAGCATCAACAGCAACAGCCGCGGGGCTCGTGGCATCGGTCTTGTGTGGTTGGCACGTCCCAGCGGATTCCCCGAGTGCCGACGCATGGGCCGGGCGTGGACTGGTCGTAGGTTTTTCTGACACCGAGGTGGGAACGTCTCCCTTCGCCGAGACGCCTAGAACTCCTCTGGATCACACTTCAGGCAATGTGCCGACTTGGGGCTGGGGTAGCAAGACAAGCGAAGGCGTTGGCGCAAGAGCCAGCAGCAGTCGGACGGGCAGTGGTGACGGCCAGCAGGTGTTCGCGGTGTGCACGATGGACGGATGTGTCCGATGCTGCCGAGTAGTTTCAACCGCGGAAGGGCAACCGCAGTGGACAAACTTGTGGACAAGACAAACCAAGGCGAGCTTTCTCTTCGCGCGCGTGTGTGTGTGATTGTTCGTCTTTGCTGGGCCGTCGTCGGACTGGACTCTATATGTTTTCTCTCCTCCGATCAAAGGGTTTGGGGCACTTGTTGCCACCATTCTCAGTGCTATCGAAGAGCAAAACAACAGCACGGGAATTCCACATGGAACGCGAATTGGACAGCAGTTCACCAACAAATTCAGCGAAATTCTCAGCTGGTGGGGAAACATGAGGTGCTATCTTGGGAAGACTGAAATTGAGAGAGCGACGAACAGCACCGGAAAATACATTACTATGGACCGAAACGTGTGACTGGTCGACAGCTACGTGACGAGCTGGAAGTATGTTGTACGAGGACGGTCGACAACACGCGTGCAGGATTGATTCGATACAGTCTGGCGCGATCCACTGCTTTGGCATTCCATGCCATGTGTTTTATTCATGCCCCAACGTTTGCATCTCCATCCGCTCCTTCCGACCACCCCAGGAAGCATTGCATTCGTTCCAGAGGCTTGACTTCGAACGTGAAGAGGGAGGGACAGAGAGCCTATTTGTCGTGTGCTCGTGGAGTGGAAAGTGAGGCAACAAAACAGGCCACCTGGGTGTTGCAGCAATGCTGTAGTCCGCAATTTTTGGCATCCATGGGCTGGGGAGCTTAATCAAAATTGCACGTGTGATCTCGTTGCTGGGTTTCCCTATCGATCCGTGGTTGAACTGCTGCTGTTGCTTCCGAGACCACACCCCTCTGTCGGCGGAACCCCGTCCCGGTTTCGTGACGTTAGTTTTGTGCATCCTGTGTACTAATCGTTGGTCGAGGTTCTACCCAGCCTTCGCCCTTGCTCCTCTACCCCAAGAGTTTCCACCCGGGGTTACCACAAGGATACCTCCACGATGAACGCCTTCGATGCTGGATGCGAAGCGAGGGTCTTGGTGACGGCTGTCCGTACGTTAAGGACCCCCCTTCCCCCCCACCCCTCCCCCACTCTCCGAACCCCACTGCAGCACATTCATGTTCGATGCTGAAGGTATGCCATGCGCAGGGTTCGACGCAGAAGCGTACCTGCCGGGCCCCTTGACTGCGTTCGTGGCCGGCGACCTCACGACACCATCGGGGTCGACAGGGCCTTCCTTGGTCTACCTTGGCGCAGAGGGGAAGGTGGTGGCATACCACGGCTTGCCAGAGCAGGTGGTGACCTTCGTGCATTTTTTCGTGATGGGACGGAGCCTCTGTTGGTGGGTAGCATGATGGGCGAAAACTGTTTAAGTTTCTCGTGGGACTTGACCCCCCCGCCCCCGTTGCGTGTTCCACTGCTGTCCAATTGTCCCGATTAATTTCGCGGTCTCGGCAGATAGAATCGGCGACTCCGGCGCAGTTCATGCCCATCCTCGTGAAGGACGGCTCGATGGGTACGCTTAAAGATCTCTTGACGAGTCTAGCCAACCGCCTTCAATGGCGCTCGAGCGAGCAAGCCCTCCCCCTGTTCCCATCCTCCACTCCTCCACCCGACGCGCAACCTGCTGATGAGAGCGAATGTGTCCAATTCGCGGATGGGACCGGATCAAGTGGGCCCGCTGAGGTGGCTAGTGCCGCCGCTGCCAACATATTTTCGGACGACGAGCCGGACACAGCCCTGTCCCTGTCGGATTCCATCTTGACGCGGGCGGTTTTATGCTCGCCGGGACTCGTTGTCGCGCTAGCGAGCACTGCGAGAAGGAACGAGCGCCGGAAAAGCACTGCAGATAGTGGCGGCTGCAGTTTCGACGATGCTCGATGGCGACGCGAAATGCGCGCGCTTGCGGAGGGAGAGGGAAGCACGATTAAAGTCGGCGAGGGAGCGGCGGCGATAGACAGGGTATTGAAAGAGATGCAGGCTTGGGAAACCAGGGGAAGAGGTATGTCCGTCCACGGAGTTGGTGGTGTGAAATAAGTAGAACATACTCAAAGCGGAACGTATCAAAGTCGCGAAGTTCTCGAAATCAGAGGTGCGACCGTCGGCTCCGGGCAGGCATGTTCAACAATATTCGTGCATGTCACGTATTATATATTTCGATTATCCGCAGGATCTGAATGCCCCGTTTGCCCCCCTGCCCCCCCTGCCCCCCCTGCCCCCCCTACTCCCCGCAGAACCGACCCTCAAACATTTTCCGTGCTTACGGGGAACACTGGAGGCTCTGTCAAGTTGGGGGTCGGGCCCCCGGCGAGATTCTCTTCGAAGCGCTTTGAAGGAGTCTGAGGCTACGGCGGAGGTGTTTGCGTCACCGGGTTGAAGCTTGCCCCAGCGGAAAACCCCTGTGACCCTTTGAAGAAGTTCTCGTTGGTTGTCGCGCAAACTCAATCACGGCTGAAGGGTTGGCCAGCAGACATAATGTGTTGATCGGCAAAGTCTACGTGATGACTCACCTCTGGCTTCGATGCGAACCGACTAGCTCAGCTCATGATAATATTTGTCTGTGGTACCTGATGACTTGTGTCTTGTGGAGGCGTCACACTGCATCGAGATAGGCAGCTTTTTGCCGTCTTGTGCTCTGTTTTCGGCGGGTGCAGTGAAGTGTTTTTGAGACATCGTTGATGACACCTAGTATCGACTCCCTTGCAAGACGCAGTTCGTTATCTGTCTGGCGGAAAGGGTTTCCCATGACGCTCGGTCCCAGGGTCCCAGATTGTGGCCTTTAGAAGCATTTTGTGTTTCAACCGCACTGAGACTGACGTCTTGTCATTGGTCAGCCGGTTAGTGCAGTCGATGCTAAGAAGAAATACACACACACACACCGCTGCAGCTTGACTTGAGCCCTCACCAGGGCAAAATATCCTTAGAAAATGGTTTCGTTTCTGTTTTTGACGTTGTGTCATGTGTGCTGTCAAATGAACTTCGCAATACGCACCTGGTATGTGTTATGTCACATGGCTGGTTAACCCGGACGCGTGTAATTTTGTGGTCGGAAGTGTCTTCGAAGACGGGTTGAGGTGTCCCGAATCCGGAAGATGCTCACCAGCATTTCGCGAAATGTCGATGGCTCGTTGCCCGGGCTCCGCGATGCATGGGGACGAGTAAAGGTAGCGCTTGTCGCTCGTGCGTGTTGGCGGTATTACTTTACATCTTGCGTAGGCCATACACGATGCCGCCATCATATTCCACAAACGTTCATCACACGAATGGTGCAATGTGGTACATAAGTCTTGCTAAAGTGACATCGCCTTTGCTCCCCGAACTACTGAGCTACCCGGTGTCGATGCTCTTGGTCATCACCGCCTTTTCTACCACCATTCTTCCGGCTGTCCCGCCCGTACCGCATCCCTTTTAGGGCTGCCTTACCCCTGGCTTCCCGAGTACCCTTGTGGGGCGATGTTGCCGCCGAAGCGGCGGCGAGTAGACGCTCGAATGGGCGAGGTCCGTCGAAAAATTTCAAGTACTTGTTGGCGGTCCTGGCCACGGGGAAAATAAGCTCGAACCCCCCGGCCCGGCCAAGCTCGCGTTCACTTTCCGCTACGACCGCGGACATCTGGTGATGTACGTTTTTCAGCAACGGGTCATGGGGGTGGAGGGCCGAAACGGTATTTGTGGTGGAAGTACTCGCAGCCATTTCGGAGAGAAATATTTGACTGCTTAACATGAATATGCAGCGTAAACGACCAAGTTATCTACCCCCCACACACATTTTCACACCCGGTCATCATGAAATGAGCGACAAACTTAAAACTACCGTGGCATCCCCTCCGCCTTACAGCAGCTGTATCTTTTCTGGGCCCTTGTCTACGTTGCCAAGCAGCTCGCCAGCGACCCGGATCACACCTATTGCACTACTCTCGAAGCCGATCATTTGGGGGGTTCTTGGGTCTCACACCCTCAGGTCGAGCACATCTAGGCAATGCCTTTGGAAGTTCCGCTAGACCGGCGAAAGTGTAGCAGACACATTGATATTTTGGGTGTGGAAAACTTGCAAGTCCTTCAGGTTGAGCCTCGTCTACATATGATTTCAGGTTTATTTCTCACACGTCTTTCTCGGGCGCGTCGTCTTGAGCGAGCGTGCGTATTCGACAACTATACGTAGGGCTAGACAAGAATCGGGCTTTCTTGCTCGCGAGTGTAGTCAAAACTTTGTTATCGTTCGTCCACCCGTCTTTACGAGAACATGGTGCAGACTGCGCTTGCAACGTTTCGCTCCTTCTTGAAACATAAAAACAAATAGGCTCAGATTGTCGTGAAAAATACAAAAATGGCTGAGTATGTAAGTAGACAGCTCAGCGGTTGACCCTACACAGACTAAACTCTATGCATAGATCCTGCCTGTGCTCGACAGTAGCGACGAAGTAAGAATTGAGCCTCGACCTGAAATTGACATTGCTCCTCTCCCGTCGCCAAATTTAAGGGTACATTTTAACCTCTTGGCGTCTGTCTGTCTCCAGAGACTATGTGAAAAATCGTCCCAGAACCGCGGGCGGGGTGCGTGGCTTTTTGTATTGCCTCTTCAGGCACACTGTTTGTGCTAATGGTCTTTAACCATAGCCCAGGGTATTTTCTTTGGGACGAGCTAACATCGACAACGACATGCAACAACAGCCGACTCCAATCTAAAAAATACGAAAGACACCGATAACTCACTTCCTCTGTGGACGGAGCTCCCCCGTCCCCCGCCCGAAAGGATCCCTCCCAGGCGGGAGCAGCCCTGTCGCCACTGCCGCCGCCGATATCGCCATCACCACCGTTTCCGTGGCGTTGCCTATTCTTTGAGCGACTGGTAGGCCTCCCTCTCTCGGTCTCTTTGGTCGTCGTAGGTCTGGCGGCCTGGTCAAGGGACTCATCACCGACACCATCTGGCGCCCCTGACAGCACACATACACCTGCGGCACTTGCCCTTCCTCCTCCTCTATGCCAACCTTCTTCATTCAATACTTGTTTCGCTCCGCAGGTAGTGCCCAGGGCTTTGTTGTTGCGTAGCGGCGTAGCGACCGCATCTCCGTCAACCGTCGAAACGTTACCGACTTCGCTTTCGTCCCCACTGCTGTTGTTCATTCTGCGGCGGCCTCCACCATCACCTTTTCCACGACCCGCAATGGCTTCTTCGGTGCCTTGCCTTCCCGGTGCTTGTGCTTTCCCTCGCCTATGCATGCCCTCTCGACGCCTATGGGCGCTACCACTAGTTGTGTTGTTTCCTGTAGCATCAGCCGCTGGCGAGTGGGGCCGTTCTGAGGGCCCTCGAATGCCGGCAAGGTTGAGCAAATCGGCAACCACCTGTAGTTAAAGGGCCCAACAGCATATATATGCCGGAGGCGCGCGTTGGTTGAAGCAAGCGCCACCCGCCAAACTTACTCTTGGTTCACTACCTTGTCTCGCGTATCCCGTTTGTCTCCAGCAACAATAGGTCGGCCTCTTCCCCCAGTCCACCATCTCCGCCGGAGGGGGAGGGGATCACGGACATGCCCATGCGGAAACTCATAGGGTAGAACCAGGGGACACCGAGAATACGAGCTAACTAGCAATGGTGTTCTTGACTAGCAAGGAGCGTGACGTGAAAATATTGGTTTCTCAGATGGGAATTGCTGTTTCGACTTATTCTTAACGACATAGCTAAGCGTATTGGGTTCGAAAACATGACGACAGAAGCGGCGAAAAACGAAGAGATAGCCCACACGCTCGAGGTTGCTCTGAGTAAGTAGTAGGACCAGTTGCTGCCTCAAACAAGAGTGCGTGGTTCATGGTCAAACGACCAAGGCAAGCAACAGACAAGTAAATCCCTGTGCGTCCCCCCCCCCCCCCCGTCTCGATACCTCACCTTAGACTTGATCTCCAAGTCTAAATCGCTATCGGTATTGAGAGACGGCGCGAAGTTCACTTCCAGTAGATGCGGCCTTTGCTGTCGATCCACCAGGACGTCGAAACCAAACATCTGAACCACAGTAGTAAGTGGGTGTGTATGCAGGTTAAATTGGTATTGCTCGTGAGGCCTTGGTTGGAGGAAATCGGAATACCTGTGCTCTGGATATCTGTACGTGTCGGTTGTCTCAAGTGTGCCCTTCCCGGAGACCCTTGGTGTAGCGGGGTGGTCCTATGGTAGTGTCACGTAGGGAGGCAATTCTCCATCGCTGTTGTACGAGAAATTCGTAAACGGCGTACCCCCTACTTAAAATGGGACTCGAGGGTGGACAAAAGTTACTGGTGCTCGGCATCGAACTATTCCATGAGACTCACTTCGAAACAGGTTCCCCTGCGAATCGCCAGCAGCTCCACAGCCGCAGATACCTTCAAAATACGACGATACCAAACCGTTCGTGCGTCAACTAACCGAGAAGATCGAAAAATCTGGTGCCACGTACGGTAGGTTCAACGCGGGTTTCGTCGATGCGGAGAGCTAGCAAAATGTATAGTGAGGCACATCCATGGAGCGAACTCGGCCAGATCACAATCAATCAAATCAGGGGTGGTACTGCTGAACACGCAAAGTTGCACCTGAGCTTCGATCGCAACGAGAGTTTTGATCACCACGGAGTGGATGTCTTGCCACAACGCAGGCACGTCCACTCCCATCCCCGCCAACCTTCGTCGAAGAACCTTTAGGCTCCACTTACTCCCCATCCCCCCCCCAACCCTCTTGCTTCCAGCCGAAGAGCCTCCGGATTCTTTCTTTCCTGTACGCGTACTTCCTTGGACCGTCGTTGGCTCCGTGACGTCGATGGATACCGCACTTCTTCCCTCATCTCCGTATTCTCTTTCACCTGTCGACAAGTTTGGGCTGCAGCCCCTTCTTCCCCCACCTGCCGGCATGGTGGTGGGGGTTGCGGTAGACCCCTTAAAAGCTGCACTGCTGGTGAAGCCGTTTGTTTCTTCAGTTGCGATGTCGGTGGTAGCGCCATCGGAGGGCCGATGGGGTGGGGTGAAGAACACGCAACCCGCGCCGTGATGCGCCCGTTCTGGAGATTGGTTCTGGGAAAGTGCCGTTCCTACAGACGTTTCACTTTGCTGAAGCTCGTCGGCCCCGCTTGAAATCCACGTAGGAAGAGACCATACGGACACGTTGGGGGGCAGGACAACGGATTGGAGGAGGTTTTGTTCCGCCTTGAAATCGCCTGTATTGCATGTGAAGGGTCGCTGCATACGACGTGCTTACGCAGAAATAGGACCGGCCATACCAACACCACCATGTTGTACCGTGCCCCAACCTCTTCAAGCGGGCGAAGTCTTGAAGATGTCTTGGTAAGGTCAACCTCGATCTCTACCCCCATGCCATGAGAGCAACCCCTCCTCGAACTTCGAGGCACTCGCAAGTGTATGGTACTACTCGGAATCGTCAACACGATGGTTTGCGCAAGAACGAAACAGGTAGATACAATAGTTACACTCGCTATGCGTTGATTGGTTAAAGCACTATCGTCTACTTTCAGTTAGGGGTGTATCATTTGACTAAATACGGCAGTAGGTGGACAAAGAGGGTTCTTACGTCGTTATCCCATGCTCGTAGCGGTTGCTCCTTCGGTTGATGCTGTAGTTTGTCAAATGAATAAACTTGTTGCCAAAGCTCGGTGCGTCGGGCCTGTAGGTCTCTGTGGCCAACCGACAGAGGCCTTCCTCATGCAGGTAAACCCTGTGTTGTTGCGCGGCATGGCGATTGGGCAATCGCGGAAAGGCGAAGCGAGTCGCACGCCGGGGTAACCGGGGGTAGCCTACACCAATTCAACACGTGTCTACATTATTTAGTTTTTGGTGGCTGTGATGTGAGGATCCTTCTCAGTACGTGAGAATGTTGAGTGTTTCTTGGGTGTACAGGGAAGGAAAAAGTTTAGCCGCGGGGGCTTGGAACCACGCCTAGCCCGAAGTACCACTCAAGACTTCATTTAGTTATATTGCCGTACTTACTCAACCACGGGAACATAGCGCTTGTCGTCCTTTTGTGGTGGATGGATGGCGGCACTGACCACCTTATTAGGACATCACGAACTACAAGAGTCCAGTCGCAGTACGCAAGCGATACACCCCCGAGACTAGGACATGGAAAAGTAATATACATACGTGGATAACACAGGGTATTGCCCTTAGAACCGCCGAGTGTACCCACCTCAAGGGGCGGAAGCTAGTAACGGCAACGTACAACCTCAAGTCGAACTTAAGGCCGTCCAGTAGCATCGGATCTTCCACGTATCGTTGAGCGATCCAGTTTCCGTCAGGGCCCGTCCCCACTGTTGGTAGGTACGGGAACAACGGGCAGGTTGGCTAAGTTTAGATAGACTTAGTAAGGTAGGCCGGCCCCGGAAGGGTTACGCACAAGAACGGGGCTGCTCGCTGACGTCTTAGTGTATTTCACGTACATGGTCAAACACGGTGGAACGGGATCCATTCCTGAGAAGGGTCGATTCTCTAACCTGGCATATCGGCAAAGTTTTTCGTGATGTAGATCCCCCGTCCGCATGCAGAACTCGCGGGTTTGACGATCCAAGTCTCCCCCTCTGATGTGTTGAGCATAGCTTCACGTAAGGCCTCCCGCTCTGTTGAAAAAAAGCATGTCGGGTGAGGAGAAAGGTCCAGGGTGAGGACGAAATCCACGAAAACATTGCGGGCAGCGGGCTGTCTACGTTCGGTATATTCTTTCGACAGGACGTTTACCAGCCTTCTCTCCGCGAGAAAACACCGTTAAGCAAAGCAGAAAAGAATACACTCCGCGTTTCGATGGAGGACAGCACCGGAGGGTGACAGCAACAACGTACTCACCATTGGTATCGGCAATTATCTTGATTCTCACACCGATAAGTTGTGGGTACACTCTTCATGTGAAAAAAAAGGAAAACGCTGAGGCTCACCGGCTGGAAGAACGAAGCCTCGAGGTGCAAAACTGAAGTGCCTGGCTCCGTGCACTTCGCTCATGCGGTTCATGTTTCTAGACAGGGCGTCCTTGCGCGTACACTCGTACGTCCTTGGAAAGCTGTTGATCCGCTGACCCCGCTTCAGGTTGCGGAACACGTGGGACCTACCGCAGAAATGGCAGCATTCAGAACGGATGGAATACAAAGGACGGCCTTGCATCTCGTCAGACGCAGCACGATGTACCTTGAAGCTTCCCAAGGCAAGCCGTATTCCACGGGAATCGGCAGTAGTTCAACTCATGTTCTCGAGAGGTTAGCGGAAGCCAAGGGAATCGGGGATCGGGGACTTGAGCGATTCGTGAAGGATGGTAGCAGTGCCAACGTAGCAGTCATCGTGCGTACAAGGGTTCGGAGCTCTAAAAGTTAACGTTACCGTAAGCAGCCCGCTTCACGCGACTGATCCTGCGAGCTCGAACACCATCAACGCTACCTGAGGTGCTGAGAAGACCACAGCAACCGCCATGATGCCTTATCCCCCACGCAAGAAGCCCGCCCCCGCGGGTGTCTCCTAAACCGCTGCGCCTGTAGGGTGGCCGACACAAGCCTAGGTTCCACACCAACAAACTTATAGGTTGGCCACGCGTGGGCTCCCGGAATTCGTTTGGCTCGCCCTCGGCGGCACAGCTCGCACATGCACGTAGCCACGTGGTAGCTTGTAGTGTCGACAGGCGAGAGCGACGAAGGCGCACGGCTACCGCCTCCATTGACATCACCACCACTGTTCCCTTGGCCGCCGCGGTGACCATGGTTGTCATTGCGTTGTTGCTGTCCAGCGTGGACTTCAACCCCAAAACGTTGGTGTCGAACAGGCTTGCCACCGGAGCGTGGAGCGAGGCTACTGGATGTTGACTCATCGACTGCGCTGGGGTACTCGCTTGCTTCTTCGAAGACCGAGGAACCCTCTTTCTCTTGTTCCCCCACGACCGGCGGGCCGGGCGGAATGCATGAGCCGAACACTCCCGGCGTCCCGCTCGATCTCCGTGGCTCGTCGTCGGCAAACTCCAGATCACGCAGCAGCTTTTGCGGGGAATGGCTCTCCACAATGCGATTCCGCCCGCCAGCACCACCAACGTGCCTCGATTTCCGTCGGCCCCGCAAGGCTTTCGGCAGCTGGTCTTGCTCTATTGAACGGAGCTGAGTCGCCTTGCCCACTCCAAGTGTTGGTTTCCCCGTTCTCTCTGTCGTAGTCTGCCGTCGGTTGGCCGAGCGGTTGAGCTCTTGCCGAGTCGCCGGGCGAAACTGGTAGAGTGTAGGCAAGAACAATGTCAGCGAGGGGGCCGGGAGGATGAACGACAGCTGGAGAATATCATTAACGGCTGCTTGCGAGTCAAGGTATTTTCCACCGAAAGAGTTTTAGATCGGTGAACTAGGATACAACAGAGGGAGAGAACGACCAACAACGTCGAGTGTGGGACGCAGAGACTGACCGCATATACGATCGTTCCATGACAAATGTTAGGACACTTTTTCGGAATTGAAGCCACCATCAGCATGGCGCACTGGTGCTTTGTAGCAGCACCTCTGTCATCGAGGATCTGCCGGAGACTACAGAGTTCCTGTTGTTCGTATCGTATTTCAGTCGAGTTCTGTGTTCGCTGCACACCGACACCCCCTCCCATCTTTTGCAGCCATGCCTCGAACACCGTGAAAGTGTATGGACGAAAATCGCGTCAGCGCAGCGATTCTATCAAGAGCATGCTCGGTGCACGGGCTTTCGAAGGGTGCCCATTAAGCAGTGTATACGTGGTGCCTGTTGTACCCCGTTTGGGCAATGTATGCTTAACGCTCATTCTCTGGCCAAAGCATGGTATGGTTTGGTTTGAAGAAGAAACCAGCGAGGGGAAATGCGTGTGGAGCACGCTGTGTATCTTAAAGAGGGTTTGCACCAGCCTCACCTGAAGTAAGCTCGCCCTCCTCTTGCCGCCCGTCGCTGCCACGAACGCAACCCTTGCCGTCGTCTGAGACTGCACGTTGTAACCTCCGCGTCTTTGCGGAGCATGTTTGGCAAGTGATACACTTCCTCTTGTTCTCTCCGGCTCACTGTGCCGATTGTGGTGATCCAAACTCGGACTGGCGGAACTTGCACGGGCAAAATTGTGTGAACCAGGCTCGACGGGACAGAACGGTCGATCCCCCCCCAATGGAATCGTTATCGGAGAGGCAGAGGGGCATCTTTCGCCACTGCTGTGACCCCTCTGCCGATTCTGGTTCTTGCACCTGGTGTTCCGGGCTTTTCCAGTAGCTTGCCCTCCAGGGCCTTGTCTGCTCTTTATCCTAGTACTCGAGTCTTTGTGAGTCCCAAACGAGGTGGGTGTTTGAGGGTCTAGTTCCTCGGCGACGTACCGATGTTGATGATTCTTCTGGTGCTTGCGTCGCTTTCTACTAGCAGGAGCTGGTGGAGGGGCGCCAGGGTGACCAGCCGTTCTTTCCCTGACGCGAAAAGGGGTGCATACGTGAAGATACAACGTCTCAGAAATCCAGTATCCGTCAGGCGTCATGGAATCTTGTGAACAAGCGTTCTTTTCTGTTTCGCTGGTGATCCTATCTGTCGCTCCTACCATAGTTGGAGCGTCGACGTGCATGCGATGTAGGACATTCTAAACGTAGCAGCACTCTCCTGTGCTCCTATTGTTGCGGGTTGAGTCCCTTGGCCTCTCTCCGTCACTGTTGCTTGTTCAGTCTCTTACGTACGTTTTCTCCGTGTCACAACATCACATCAGTACATGTCGACCTTGTAACAATGCCAAACAAGAAATTATATTGCTGCACTATGTACTTGCTGTACGATGCCGATGTCTTGCGGATCACATTTATTTGCTGCCTTGCGCTACGACACGCACGCACATTTCTATAGAGATTTTTCAGACAGGAACACGCAGCATAGACTATTGGAGTTGCGGGTGGACCCGACTACGTGTTGGAATACATACAAAGGTACAATACCTTGTATGTATGTGTATTCATATCTTGTGAGAAGTTATTTACAACCGAACCGCACGTAGCAGCATTTGTCAACATATTACAACACTCAAAAATCACCCGTTTACATAGCTGCACCTGTTCAGTAGTACAGGGCGAAGCAAACCGGCGTGAATGGTAGGCCTGGCTCCTTTTAAATGCGGGAGAGTTGTGGCTGCTGAAGGTGAGGACATCTCTGTAGCGAGAGATACGTTGTTGTCTCTCCGCATCTTATATCCAGGAGAGACGGAGTTATGTAGGCCGCCAGGGCTGGTACCTTGCTACTTGCTACCGCCGTGCAGCTTGTTGGCTATTAGAGGGGGCTGCGGGGATTCGGTGGTACGTTTTCTGGGCTTTTCTTTGGTGCTGTCGCATTTTCTTGATGATATTGTTCGGCGAAGAAACGAAGAAACCGTCTTGAGGGAAGTTGGGCCGCACATTTTCGTGTTCGTCCCATATTTATCAGTTAGTTGTAGTCAGGATTCCTCCTGGCTCTGATCATGAAGCGCCCGAGAAGTCAATCCCGTGGATTTGTGCCTATGACCAAAACGTTGGTACCATATCTCGTGTTCGCCCTGGTGTGTACTCTGGGGGATACAGGTAGTGCGGAAGTTTTCGACCAGGTGCGAGTCGTGGTGAGCCAACTAAAATAACGGCTGATATCCAACCTTGTGGTACAGCAGTAGTACCCTGCTGTGCTGCTGTGTGGCTGTTTTGTTCTGTGTACAATGTGCTCATCGCACCCATAATGTTATAGCCATTTCGCAGGTTCTGCACCTACAATGGGCCTTGCCTATCTCAGTTCAAGACCTCCGACCCGCGAGTCTCTGGGTGCATGTTGCTGTTTTAGGATTTTACGAAAATACGGCGCTGTGATTGGAGGAGTGTTTTTGATGCTCACAGTCCCGCGAAAAGTCCGACCAAGGAACCAAGAACCAACGTTGACCCGTCTCCCGTCTCCCATCTCACAGCTCCAAAGCCCTGTGCTAATCATGTGTCCCCTCGAAAGCAAAGTGGGACCGATGGTCTACATGTAGCCCTAGGATTAAACTGTCCGTGTCAGACCGGTTCGGGGTGAAGTTGCTTGATACTGCTGTACTGCTGGATGATCGAAAAATGCGGTGTATGATGAACGCTGTGTTGTTGTGCTCACAGACTGCTGCTGCAGGTAGTAAGTAGAAATGCTGCAAGTCCCGACACGAAGAACTATGCATAGAACGTTGTCTAGACACTTCTGCTGTTGAGTAATGCACATCAAAAAATTTCGTAGGAAAGCAAACCACAGGAGGAGTTGGTTTCACGCTCTTCATGATACAACAACAGCAATGAGAACTTTTCACTACTTACGTTATTTGTGCCGCGGTAAGTTGCCAGAGGTCAGGATGTAGATGAACACTTCGGGTGTAGACTAGTTCACTCTTGACCTGAGCTGTTTGCACGCGTACCGCGGCGCAGAGATTCATTGCCATGAGGTAGGCGTGCCCTTCACTCTCCAGGCTGCTGCCGCAGCTCAGCTGTCGCATGCAACGGTACGCTGTACCTACACTGTACCTGTCGCGTAGGCTCCTGGGCGGCAGGACAAATTGGAGGCAGGCATATTTAGTACTCCTGCTGTAGACTAATTCTCGCCTACGGGCTGCCGTCGAAGAAAGAAAAATTCGATCCATGTGGCAACTCCCCTCACGATGATCTTGATTGCTTCCTTAGCTGGGTTGATACAAATCTGTGGCGTGGGGGTCACCTGAGACTACAATAGGGATGCGTCGTTGCTGTAAGGCCTATTGGTTGGTGTGCTTTGTTTGGCTGATGGTGACAACATAGGCTGATGACGTAGTTCTTCAGTAGTCTTTGTGTTGAAGGAATGGAATCCAGCAGTAGCACTACAGCGAGCACGTCAAGGAGGGCCAAACTGGTGACGCGTGTGGAGGCGTACTGCAGAGGTTAAAACCTGCGACATATCGCTTGGGTCAAAAAGATTCCGGGACGAAAACGTGCGTGAATGTTTGTTGGTGGACAGAAGCAGGGCCAACTCCTCTAGTGAGACATTCGTCGGTTACCCACGAAACGGATGAACTCTGAAGGACCGTCCTTCAAGGCAGTCCCGAACCGTGTTTAGTCCGACAAGATCCGTGACTCACATGTAGGCCGACCCACGGTTCTGGAGCTGTTTGCGCCAAACTTGGTTGGTTGTGGGTTCTCCCTGAAAAATGTCTTGACATTTCTCCTTGGTAGCGTGCGCATTCTGCGAACTGCATGATGAGGGTTAGTTCCCTGTTCCAACACGGGTGGCTCCAGATCTCCGCTTCTCTAGGCTGTTCTTTGGACTGACATAAGTTGAAGGTATCACTGATAGCTGTATCACCGATACTGAACTCGGTGAGGTTCGGGCTACGAAATCGCTCTGATGTCTTTGACATCTTGTGTATATCAGAGAGTACCTGCAGCACTAGGGTCCCAATAGTAGACAGATCAAGAAAACGTTCCCCCCTTACACAGTCATTCTATCTCGCGTTGCCTGTCGGCGACGAAAAACGATTTCCTCAGGTTGTGTTGCGGAAGGAACCGGCTCGACGGGTCCTTCCAAAACATCACCATCGGGCCTCGCCGGGTTGTCCAAATGGAGTCACAGGGGGCGCCGAGCACAGAGGAGAGCATCTGGATGATGTCCGATGTGGAGATACAAGCGCAGGCCCTCACCAACACCCCATGCTGGCGACGATGTTTTCGGTGTCTTTCTTGGTTGGGATCATCATATTTATTCTTGTTTGCATGTCATGAAGATGCCCTCGCCGCTTGTTGCTCGAAAGTCGTGCATGATACATCATGTATCTGGTATGATGATTGTTACATTAGAACGCGGCATCGCTCGGCAAATAGGATTTGATTGCTATTCGAA